TGATCCCCATAACAACCCTATGAAGTAATTCATAACATCAACTCTATTTTTAAGAAGAAGAAGAAAGAAGTGCTGTGGCAGAGAAATTAAATACCTTGCCCAACATCTAGGAGCTAATAGGTAAGCTGGTAAACATGTAGTCCAGAGACACTATATCCTATCAGTACTAATATGGCTTTTCTTGATCTTCCTAAACCATATGAATGAACTAATTATTCCATGGCTACATCTCTCCTATTTATTCTTCACTTTTTTCTCAAATTCAAAGACTATATTTCCAAACAAATTAGATAACTGAATATATCACTCCTAAAAAAAGAAAACATTATTATAACTTTTCCAGTCAATGAAAATTAAGAGTCCTGCTAATGTACGTGTTGGGCAGCTAACTCCCATAACAATTTACAGAGCTGGAAATCCACAGGGGCAGGTCTACCCTGTCCTATAGTGCCACTATGAGTCAGAACTGTCTCAATGGCCATTCGTTGGGTTTGTTTGTATTGTTAACAGTTTACTGGCACCTCATCCACATATCATACAATTCAATAGTTCAATCATATAAAGAGAAGTTGAATCATTATTACAACAATCAATTTAAAAACATGTTCTTCTTCCTTGTACTCAATGTTATTAGTGTAATTATTTTTTTTAATTGTGGCAAAAATATACACAACAAAACATTCTCCAATTCACTGCCATAGATGATACTCTTCACATTGTACAACCATTGTGGATATCCAAATTGTTCCACCGCCATTAAAATGAATTTGATGCCCCTGAGCAAAAGCTCTTCCTCCTTCACCTATGGTAATCATAGGTCAAGTTTGGTTTCTTTTAGTAGTTTTCCTGATATAATGTTCACACACCATATCCTTCCATAGTTAAATCACTTTTAAAAGACTTACATATACATCATCACAATCAATTCTAGTGCTCCCTCCCCTTCTTGCATTCATTGTTTGCTCCCCAGTTCCCCTCACCTTCCTTGTACCTCCCTCTGCCGCCCCAGATAAACTACTGCGTCAGTTATTGTCTCCATGCACCCTTCTGTGCTTCAGAGAGAACCCTAACAGAAACAATAAAAACTGAAACAGAAAGAAGAAAACCATAATGATATTATAAAGGCAAAAATAAAGAGTAAGAAAGAAAAATAACCACCAATATTTTAAAAGCCAGAACATAAATTTCTGTCATGGAACAAGTGAGAAATACTTGAGCCTAGAACTGACCAAGTAACATTTTATATCAAGGTTGTATCCACCATAATCAAGTTTACAGTAATCTCTGTCTGACAGTAAAGCTGTTCGAGTCCCTCGCCTGTGTCTAAAGGGGTCGTCTGGGTCTTTTTTTGAGAGCCAATGAAATTTCAAAACAATAACTAGGGTTGGGAGGTTGTCTTTGATAACTATTTGTAAGGTATCTAATTACAAATTAAAATTTCAATATAACATGCTATTTTTATTGATTCTGATTCTGATTATGCCCAATTTTCTAAAATTATGGTTGGAGTGAAAGTCTACAGAGTATATTAGTTTTCCATTCAATAATTCTTACACATTTGGGGGACAACATTGATTGCTGAATCTCCATGTGACAGTATATTCCCACTTCCTCCCGGAGCACTCCTTGGCAATTCTGATTTCTTTCCTGCCTCTTTCTTCCTATGCTTTGTATTAGGAAAATGCTAACCTTTTTGGTTTCCTGTGGCTAATTATTCTGAGTACATTCCTCACACGAGTTACACCACTTGCAATGCAAATTTATTTAGCTACCCACTACTCCTTGAGACTGTGGTTCTAAGTATCAAAGCTTCTTCCCTCAAGGTGTTGGTTATGGCTAAGAACTTTTCTAAATCTGTGCCCTAAATTATGCTCATTTTTTTAAATAGAAATATCTATTCGTGATTTTGTATGTACCTATTTTACCAGCTGTAGTTGTGTTGTCAATTAAGTGTTGGATGGCTAAACCACAAGGTCAGCAGTTCAAACCCAGCAGCTGCTCTCAGAGAGAATATTGAGGCTGTCTGTTACCTGTGGGATACAAAAAGATTTCTCCCAAGTTGTCTCCCCCAAATATATGCCAAACCTAGCTGTGTGCTACACATGGTAAATGACTATACACTTAGAGGTCAACAAAAGTAGGTGACAGGTTATCCTCCCTAAGGGTTATCAGTCATCTAGAGCAATCAGACTATATAGTCTGTCCTACACTAGTGGGGCCCACGCCCTTCTGATAAGGATAGCTGTAGATAGTTTCCATGAAGGAGAGCCCAGGGAAGTCAAGCCCATTCAAGGTGAGGCCGCCATCATTAATCCAGGGTCTGTCCTTGTCACATGTACACCTTTAATCCCTCCCCTTCCTGTTATGTGTAAACCCCTAGCTCATCCCCTTCCTGTTACGCTTATGCCTATTGCACATCCCTTTCCTGTGATGTGTCCGCCTATTATGCAACCCCTTCCTGTGACGTATATCTTTCCTGTAATTACGGGGCATCCATGTCCTCAAAGATATATAAGCCTTGGTTAGTAATAAATCACTCTCTCGCTTGCTCCTGCCCTCCCGTCTCCTACCTCCACGTATACCACCAAGAAGAGCTGAGGTGAGTATGCTACCAAGAAATGTGTCTGGCTTCTTTGTTACTCGTTCTCTCCCATCTCTCCGATTTCTCTATGACTTTATTATAATCTTTATGTATATTTTAACTTTACAATTGCACTTACTGAACCCATGATAGTGTGAGGGGCTAACCTCCCCCACAGTTCCCATAAAGTTTCACAGCCTCAGAATTTTTACATGATTCAGAATCAGCTATGAGTAAGAATCAACTTGATGGCAGTGGTTATTTTACCAGCCCAACTAGGAACTAGTATCAGAGGCCCGTTTTCAACTCCTTTTGCTCCTAAATAGAATGTACTTAACTAGTCTCCAGAAATCAGCTGCACTGGTAGACTCAAAACTCACTGTCATTGAGTCGAATCAGACTCTGACTAACCCTATGTAGAATTTCCAATGTTGTAAATCTTTATGTGAGCAAATAACCTCATCTTTCTCCCATGGAGAAGCTGGTGGGTTTGAACCAACAACCTTTTGGTTAATAGTACCATGCCTAGTTCATAGTATTCCCAGGGCTCCCAGCTGCATTAGCAGCATCTCTTTTTTGCCCATTCCATTTTAGAAAAATGTGGGGAAGTTTGTGCCTAGGAAAGGAACTACTACTTCTTGCTTCTCTGCTTAACAATTTCTCTATTGCTTCCAGAGAACTCTATCTGACAAAAGAATCACCTTATTGCAACTAGAAAAATGCCCTCTAGAACTTAAAATCTATAAGCCAAGTGCCCTACTACTAAGGACAATTTCTTAAAGAAATGTTTCTTTTTTGTTCTTTAGTCACATGAAAACAGGTTTTAATCTTTGTTATGTGTTTTGTAGCAGCAGTTTTATATATTCGGTACAGTGATAGTCATTACAGAGCCATTCACTCTAAAAGCTGATGCCTATTCAGTAAGGTAAGTGCAAGGATGTACAGAAAGAGCCATCACATATGATGCTAACCCAACCTACCACAGATGCCCACTGGGTTTTTAAGTAATTCGCAATAGATGATCTCCTGAAGTCATACATTTTTGATTGGTGCGTTCTTTTACTCTGGCTTTTTCCCCAGGGTTTACATCCCAGAAAAATCAAACATTTTTACTTTCATGTCCACAATGGCTCTTTTAAAGGCCTTTTCTATATAAGAGGCAGGCTTATATTTCCACTGAAATTTTGTTTTTTATTGTGCAAGTCTTGAAGAGAACTAGGTGCAACAAGACACAAACTTTCCTTTGAAAAGTGTTACTGGCACTTGGTCATCTTAGGGTGTTTTATGTTCTTTCTCTTTCTCCCTTTCTTTCTATCTTTTTCTCTCTCTCTCTTTTTCTGTTGTTTTTAACAAAAGTACTCAGCCCTAAGTATCAAGATACAGTATTGAATTCTATCTGGTTTCCTGTCCTAAACAAACCACAATTGGAGGTGCCAAATCAATTCAGTACAAATTTGCTAGAGGGCACCTGCAAGGGATACGGTCCTTTAATCTTCACATACCAAGAGTGTTTACGCACCTCTGTTGGAAAGAACTACAGGTCTACAAGGTCAAAGGTTAGTCAATGGAGGAGAAAAATGAGGTAGAATCCCTCCAGAAAGTAATGAACCCTGCAAGTGTTTTCCCTGGCAAGCTGAGTGAACTGCCAAGTGTGGGTCAGGGGTCTAAATTTAACTAAGAGTTGAACTTGCTCTTTTCAATTACAAAGGTCTCAACAAAGAACGGGATCATTCCCTGACTTAAAAGAACTTCTCAATAATAACTCAAAGTGAAAGCATGCCAAATAATGTAATTTGTGAATATAAAAGAATTGCTTTAAATTAATTATCAAGTTTCCTTGTAATATCAATAAATGCTATCAATATATGATCAAATGTCACCTGCTCTCAAATTAAAATCTAATGATGTAGTACTTATACACAAGGAGGCTTCAAAAAGTGTGTGCAAACATGGAAAAAAACAATAATGGAGTGTTTCCACAAATTTTCTACAGATCCATAACTTAAAATGACTATCCAATTTAAAATAAAATCAAAAACTACCTTCAAAAACAAATCGGTGACCATTCAACTCTGTTTTTCTAACATCCTGCATTAGACAGAAGCAAATCCTTCTGAATTTCTACCCTCTGGACCCTATTTTAGATCCAACATAATTTAAGTTCAAATTCCAATATTACTTATTTTAAGGACAGAAATCTCTTAAGATGAATGTCTCAGTACATCTGTAATCTAAAAGCCTATTTCAAATCTTCAATAAGCCCACTCAGATGGTACTTGCTAAAAAAAAAAGAGGTGCTGACTAAATAAGAGATCATATTGGTCTCCTTCTACAAGGGGAAAAGTATCCAGGACCACTTCCAACAAGTCAATTCTCTCCTAGTTAACATACGCATTTCTTTTTTCTTCATTTTCTTTTCCACTGTACAACTAACTTGCTGCAGTGCCTGAGGCAAGGAAGTTAGACAATGATTTGAGGTTACATTTTCTCTGGCATGGGACACTATGAGGGCCCCACAGGGACTGGCCTGCCATAAATTCAAACCCATGCAAAGTAAACATATTCTAATTAGATTATTTCCAACTACAACTTCTACAGGGAAAAGAGAGACCCTTTATTGTTAGAAAAATAAATATATCATCATGAAAACATTTTGCAAGAAAGCACAAGAGTATCATTGCATAGATAACATATGAAAGAGCCCCAAAGAGATCATGGAAAACTGAAATTTAAAAGAAAATGAAAATTTCTCATGAAATTTTGAAGCTCCTTTGTATGTTGATTGTGAATACTGAAAGCAACTACCTGAATTCAATTCCTTAGAAAGTCAAATTCGTCTTCATGCACATAACTTTCATTTTCTTCAACTTTGATTCATTTTGTGTTTCTTGATAATGTACATAGCAAAACATGCTGATTCAATAGCTCCTCCATGTACAATGCTGATTCCATTCTTCACGTTGTGCATCCTCACTCTCAGAAGTCGTCTCTCCCTTGTTAACATAAACTCAATACCTCCTAATGTTTAATACTGCAAGTTGCTGTTGTCTAATAACACTAGATAGCTCTTAAAAATGCATAATGGTCAAGGTAGAACTTTTTTTTGCTGGTTCAGCTAAACTATTATTCAATTTTAAGAAAAACTCATGGGATATTCCTGATTTAAGATTTAAAGATTATCTCAGGGTAATGACTTCCAAAATTCATCCAAACTCCAAAGCTTCAAAAGTCTATGAGGATTTGAAATACTCTTCCACATTTCCCCCTTTGATGAGGATACTCCTATAGAAGTTTTCATCAAAATTCTCAGAAATGGTGACCAGAAATCACCCAATTCTACTAGACTCAAAATAAAGTAGAAAGTTTGCTGTTCATGGAAGCGATTGGCCACACAGTCCATGTCTCCCTCCTATTCCTGATTCTCTCCATCTAGTCTCTGTTGTTTCAGGTAAATAAACACCGATTTTGTGACTTGGGTAGTCACTCCTGAGCTATTAAAATGACAGGCACTATGTATCAAAGTAGGAAGTAGAACAGAAGCATTTCAGTGATGGATCAAAAGTTAAGTATAGACTTATATGATCCAGAAAATTTACTCGTACATATATACCCAGAAGAACTAAAAGCAAAAACATAACAAATACTTGTATATCAATGTTCACTGCGGTACTATTCACAGTAGCCAAAGGATAGATGGGTGGAGGTTAGCCTGTCAATCAGGTTGCAGCATGATGACCTCATTTGAAGGTGCCACCAAGATAAATGGCTCTCTAGAGGCAGGCCCCTCCCTCTCTCTGCCTTCATCTTCCTGTTGATGAGACATGCTGAGAGCCCTGGAGACGTGTCCACTGCCATTGGATCCACAGGACTTGGCATTCACTGGCCTGGGATCTGAGTCTGAAAAGGGACTTATGGACTAGTAGTAGATTTATGGATTTGCGTTGAACTGGGCTAGGTTGTTTTCTTGATATATTAAGTTTCTAGATATACAGCTTTCTCTATACATATGTAAGTGTTTCTGCATTTGTTTCTCTAGTCAACTGGCATAATACATTATGGTACTGGGAGTGGGGTACTAGAGAAACAAATCATAAAGATGGAGAGTGGATGCTTACTTGACTCTGTGTCATGGCAGTTTTTCATTTTGGGCATGCCAGAGGTCAGATAGGGCTAGCCAGAGGTCAGATAGTTTACTCGATTGTTTCCTGGAAAGAACATGGTAAATTAAAGTTTTGATTCCTTTCTTTGTTTGTTGTCTTTGGTCATTCCTGTTTGAAATGGCAAAATGAATGTGATAAATGTAAATTTTGAACTCAAGGGACAAAATGGCCCCTTGAGCTCTGAGACCATGCCGCATAGTCACAATGGCTGACAGAAGGCCTCTCCCTGGCATGATGCAGCCAGAGGCTGATGGTCATTGTGTTAGAGAAGGTTCTCTAGAGAGATAAAACCAAATTTCTGATAATATAATGTATTTATTTATAAAGATAATTAGATATATAACAAGGAATGAACTGTTAAATCATATACAGATAAATATATAATACAAGAAACAGTTAAATTATAAAGCACTACAAATGGCTCAATTCAACTCATTGCCGTGAGAGAGTTGTAAGACTAGCAGTCCTTCAAGTCCAGTCTGCTGCCAGATCTTCCTCTATTTATAGAGAGAGTTAGGCACAGCAGCTAATCAGAAGGCAGGTCACCAACTGCCAGCCAGGTCACCAATTGCCAGTCCCCAGCTCCAGCGATGTCTTAAAGGGACCTCAACTTACAGCGACACAGTCCACAGGCTAGGCATCCCACAGGTAATATAGCCTTTAAATTGAGGCACAGAACAAGCAAGGCAGTCGCACATTGGTCCAATGATCAAAGAGCGAGAGACAAGAAAGACGAGGCCCACCAAGCCATTTATCTCTCTGCCCTTCAGTTAATCCCACTTGTGTTTATCGGCCAGGCTGGCACAATAAACTATCTCAGTCATATTGCATATGAATGAGATAGCTTAGAACTTAACTGTTTTAAGAATGTGTTTAGGATCTGCCTGTACTAAGACTAGGTTGATTTTTTTCTAACTATTGTTATTGGTATAATGTGTGATACAAATTATTGAGAAGTATGAAAATAGAAAGTTTGGAGCTCCCTGCCTTCAACCATTAAATTGGATCTTTAAATGAGTAAAGGGCATGCCCACAGAGAAGGCTCTGAAAAGTAAGCTCCTACTGGTGCCTTGAGTGCTTAGAAAATTTGCATTTGAAAAGACTTGCTGAGAGATCTGTTGACAGACTGAAGAAAGAAAAAGGAGCCTATTGGCTTTTTGAATTTTGAATTAGTGGTTTGTGTTTGAATCTGGAAAAAAATTGGGAGTAACAAGAAACTCTCCTCTCTAGGACTGAAAGATAAAGAGCCTGCAGGCATCCTGAAAAGTTCACTAAGTGACCACCTGGATCCGCTAGTTGAGTGGAAGTGAGGGAAAAGCAGCAAAAGAGAGACAGGTTGAGTCTAGCCACTGACTACCATGGACTTGGTTCAAAGGGATGAGAGGCAAAGATGACAACAGGATGGCTGGTCTGAAGTTTAAAGAGTTGGGTGGCATGACCTAAACCAAGGGGTCTAGGGTTGTTGAGAATTGTGATGGGGCCGATGATCTAAAGACAGGGCGTCCAATGGGCACCATGGTGAGGCAAAGCAAGGTGACTGATCCACATTAGGTTGACTAGAACCCGACCAGATGAAGATAAGATTTTTGAGTCTGTGAACTGGTGCATATTGATGCTGACTTTATGGATGGCCTGTCCTAATTAGACTTTGCTTATAGATGCAGACTCACAAGGTTCAAAATGGAATGAAGATTCTTCACATCAAAGAATACATTTGTCTCCTCCGAGCACTGGGTTGATATAAGTGGGAGGATAAAGATATGAAGTGGCTGGATTACGAAATTCCATAGCAGGGGATAAGTGTAGGTGTTCACATAACTGCAATTGTTAGGCATAAAATATTTTTGTTTTGTTCACTTATAGAATATTATGTTTAAATGGGGCTGGCACATTTTTAATTGTGGGCATTTTGTTTTTATCCTGTTAGGCACACACATGACTTTATTATTGTCCCTGTTGCAAAAATTATATATAGCAAAATAATTGTATACAAGTGCTAAGTTGGCAGGGGTGGACTGTGATAATTAGGTTTTTGTATGCTAAGATGGCACCTGTAAGAATATATGGGTGGCTGGCAATCAGGTCGCAGCTTAGTGACTTCATTTGGAGGTGCCACAGAGATAAATAGCTCTCTGGACGTAGGTCATTCTCTCTGCCCTCACCTTCCTCAAAGTAAGTCCTGTAGACTAAAAATAGGGAGCTAGAAATATCAATTTGTGACAAAGATAACAAAGTAGAAAGAGAGAATCATGTAGTTAGAACTTTCAAAAAGTCAAGCAGATTATCAATAATAACATATTGTTTTAAATTTAGGAATAAATTAATAAAATAGAGTAACCTCAAAGAAAATGAATAAATTTTCTCATCAAAGGAAAATAAAAAAATTTAGTAAACTCTAAAGCAGCAGGATTAAAGAAAATGGCAGGAAAATCTACAAACAAAACTAAATCAGCACAGACAGTATGTGGAACAAAGAGACAAGACAAACCGGGAGGACATTATGCAGAGTGAAATTAGTCAATTACAAAAGGGTAAATATTATAAAACTATTTTAAAAACTAATGTAAAAACTCAA